ACATTCTGTAGCTTCATACTCAACATGAAGCAGACCAGACCAAAGTCATGCTCCACAAACACAAATGCAGGCAAGCATTTGGTCACAGCAAGCTGAGTATGCATTATTGTTCAGCTGCAGGCTCCAGTAACAGTTGTAGGGGTTCAGGGAGACCTTCTGCCTACTGATCATGGTCAACACAGAGGTTCCAATCTGAACCATCCAGTTGTACTGTAGCTAGGTTAGGTCTCCTAAACCTAAGGGAAGAACTGCTGTTCTGTTCCTAGAGAATCAGAATTAGGCCAAGATGGTGAGCAGCAGGGTGACTTGTCTCTGTGGTGCTTCCTGGGTTTTCCTTTTTCTTTTAGAGGCTTTTAGATTATTTTTATCTGAACCTTAACCCTTTGATAACATGCAGAGGAGGTCATCAGAGATTTAATTCAGGTGTGCTGAAGCATCTTTAAGTTGCAGACGTCCAGGACTGGAATTAAAGAGCCCTGAGCACTAGACTAATTCAGAAGGACATCTGGAAGGGGGCCGAGGTTCATGGAACTCAGCGGAACATACAATATGATCCATTTGATGCTTTATTGTCTCACAGAGGTTTCAATTTTTCAAACAAATCTAAATACCAGAAAAAACAACCATAGCAAAAACCTGGGGCGATTATAGGACCAGAGGCTTAGTGGTGCTGAGCGCCCAGAAAGCTGTCTGGCCAGAAAACATTAATTTCAGTGTTTTCTACTCATATTTTTTAAAACTTGTTCAATGCGTTTTGGTAATGACTGACTCCATCATTCACTAATGCATCGTATCTGAGACGTTGGCCAAAAACCTAACAAGCAAAGCAAAAAGCAGCATTTTTTAGAAGAATATTCCAACCGATTAAAGCTTGTAAATTTCATGGAAACCTTTGAATCAGTTTTCATGAAATGTTTTTTCTCTTTTGTCTGCAAGAATTACTTCCATGATATATGTAAAATAATCTACTCAATGAAATGTTTTTCCTTTGCCAGTTTAACAACTGCTGTTTGGCCTGCTGCCATTCTGTCTGTTTTCTTACCTGGTTTTCCCTGACTTTTCACTGTGAACACACCTTGCTCCTCTGCTCCCCCTTTACTCCTCTTCCTCTTTAGACTGGCAATCATAAGATGGATTATAAATTCAAATAACTAGAAACAGAAAGAAATGCTAACGGTTTACTATTGATTCAGTAAATATAAGTAATGATATTGAGTTGTGGTTTTAAAGATAATCAAACAAACCAGTCTCAGACGCATTAGAGCACCTCGCTGGTGAACACACCATCAACAAGTGTAATCTGACTGAATATTTCGAAAACAGCAGTTTTTCCTCAAAGCGTTAGTCAACATTTTAGTTAAGGAGCTCCATCAGGCCTGTTTATTTGTTATTATGTTTGTTTATTATTATTTTTGATGAACCAGAACATAATTGAAGGGGTTAAATAACTAAATACTGTATAGTTTTAAAAATGTCCCTTTTTTTATTGTAAAAAGCACACAGGGTATTAAAACAACAACTCAAAGTTTAGAGGTGCTTTGATTCAAATTAGGGTTGCTTCCGCACCCCCAAAAATAGGCTAAAAACCACAAGAGTTTGGATCCTAGATGTTTGAATGATGGTTTTACATTACTTAGTAAATATGAAGAGTACGGTCAGCCAAAGTCACAGGAAGCTGTCGCCCATAGGTCAGGTAACCTGCTGGATTTTACTCAGTGGGAGCACAGCTTGAGGTTTCCGACTCCATCCAGCTTTCTGTTGCATTTGTTTGCTGCTCAGAAAAAATTAAACAATCAGACACAAAGGTCCTGCAAGGATTTGGTCATAAAGATCTTCTTGTAGAAGCTCAGACTCTGGTGTGTTTGGTTTGCAAGCATACAACATGTTCTTCATGTCTCATCCACCAGGGGAAGCTGCAGCAGCTTAAGTTAACTATGAAGGTTAGTTTTTTCAAAACTATTTATGAATTGTAAGCATGAATTTGAAGTTGTAGATAGAGAGTTACATTCTAAGTTTTGTACGTGTAAATAAAGGATACTACCCACAAGTCAAAGATCATTTTTACCGGTGTGACATTTGTGTCAAAAGTGAAAATGAAGGCGTAACTTGTAAAATTGAATTTGTAAGTCACAGCAGCAGATTTGTGCATTGATTTGCATTCATGTTAAGGAAAAAATATCTTCTTTTTTTTTAAGATTTTAACACACGTGTTTGATTTTATTTCGCACCATTTGTTTTAGATCAACTAGCAAAACTGAACGGAAGACATTTTTTGATGTGCATCGCACAGAACACAATTTGAGTACTCGTACACAAGCATTTGAAGAGGTGTAACTTTTTTTGTAACTGGGACAGATTTAAAAAAGTCTACAATTACAAAACACCAAAGTTGTAATGCACAAATAGTTTTTCAACAATAGTTCTGGAACATTTGGAGCAAAACTGAGAATGTAAGAGGTTTTGATGTGCAACTTGTAGGAAAGAATTGTGTACTTGTACTTAAAATTTGATCAGGTGTAAAAAAAAAAAATGTGCACCTGTGAATTTCTTTTTTTATTCTACATGTATAAAACTTAGAATGTAACTCTCTCTACAACTACAAATTCACACTTACTATGCACAAATAGTTTTGAAACAAATAACCTTCATAGCTAACCTTCTTCTCCAGGCCTGAGCTTCAGGAGTTCAGTTCAGTTCTACTTCAGGTCCATTCCTGCTGTGCTGCTGCAGACATCCAGGAACAGGATTCCTGTTCTGGACCCTTTGTGTCGGACTCAGTGTTCATGCGTTTGGGTCTCAGAGGAAAACTCAACAACAAAGAATAATTATAAAGATCCTTTATTATAGTAAATCAAACATCACAGGTCCTTTATATTCACTGACTCATGCGGCAGGCGGTGGTTTATGAAGTGGAAAAAAACATGAGTTGAAGAATCAGAACCAACACTGGATCCTCAGTTTTTAGGAATTAAGGAGTTTCCCTTCGGAAAACAGAAATAAAAAATCTTTAAACTGATGATTTGTTTTAGTTTCAGTAAAATGAGTCATGTCTGGTTTGAAGGGATGAGAGGAACCATCCTATGGTCTCAAACTGATGGCTGGATAAGAGAAAACCACAAACACATCAGGAAGTTCTAAATGTTTTCACAGCCCAGACTCATTCAGAGCCTCAGCGCCTCTGCAGCTGCAGTTTATCTAATTAGGACAGTTCTTCTGTCAGGATAAACTGTTCTCATCTTCATTATGTACATAACAGAGATTCGGGAATAAAATGGGAGCACAGACAGAGTGGATAATGCTTAACAACGAGCTCTCTCTGCCTTTAAGGCTGATTTATACTCAGAAACCAGGTGGTCTGCGTGTGTGTAGCAGTAATGCAAATGTGCCTCCGCCCCTCCCGCAGACACTCTGGTGCACCTCTCCAAAATCGTAGGTGACCGCAGACAGTAGACCTCTGATTGGTCAAATCTACATCCGCTCTACTCTATGCGTATTTCCTGTTTGGTACCTTACTGGCTTTTTTTTTTTTTTTTATGACCTACACCTTGGAAAACGACGTGAAGTTGGACCCTCTAGGGGAGGGAGGTGCGCAAGAATGCTGGGACCCTTTTTCCACCTGGATCCCTGCTCTTTTTCACCCTCATGTCCCTCCATTGTTGCACAAACTGGTCCCCACTTCCTTGCCGTCTCTGCCGTATCTAGACCCACAGATAGTTCCTGATTGTCCCTCTTAATAACACAGCACAGACCACGCTTCAATATTGGGCATAAATCAAAAATACCTGTGACAAGCTGTCTGCGACACGCTGCTGCGGGAGGATAACCAGCCCTTTATCTGGAACACGGTGCATTATTATGGAATGGCTGGGGCCAGTAATGGCTCATTTTACAAACACGTGTTTGATGTAATGATGTGGCAACCCGTGAGTATAAAAAGCAGAGCAACCTCTGTGGTCTGAGTAAGATTGCAGTTATGTGAAATCTGTTGTCATGTCTCATGGATATTTAATATGTATATATTATGAAGTGTTCTTTGAAGTGTTTGCTCAGAGTGATGTCTTTGCAGGAAAGAATCAGGGAAGAGAAAGCTTAACTCTTTATATGGCACTAAGTGAAATACTTGGAGAATCTAAATTTCAGGTCGAGTGTTATTGGAGGACAGGATAAGACCTTATTACTTTTGTAACTATAAAAAAATATGTATACTTTGATGGTAAAAATGAAGTTCAATGTTATAACAAGAAATGGCAATTTGCCCTGATATATTAGGAAAAATAACAAAAGTATAGTATAAGAAATTAATGAAAAGCATTCACTGAGTGAAAGACTTTTTTTTTAATTTGCTACAACATAGCCTTAGAGCAGGGGGATTTCCAGGCCAAGGACCCCCAAACTGATGGCGAGATGGAGCGGGGACCCCCTAATTTTATATATATTGTATAAAACTGTGTTATATCAAACTGGTCCTATAGTCACTCTATTACAGATGGTGTAATGTTCTGATTCCGATTCCGGGTTGATAGAACAGGTGTTGTGAATGAAACGGTGCCCAGCTTGAAAGAGCTCCTGTGTGTCACTGAATGTGTGCATTGATGACTGAAAGACATCTTCTGTGTCATTTATCAGTTTACTACATTGTGTTTACGTTCATGTTAATGTGGATTTAAAGACATTTCAATTAGTGGAAAAAATTGCAGTCCAATCTACCAGAATTTTAGCGACCCCCATGCAGTACCTCCATGGACCCCCTAGGAGTCGCAGACCCCCTGTTGAAGACCTCCGCCTTAGAGCATTATTGCCAATAAAGCCACTTAAATATCTCACCTTTTTAACTTAGTTTATTGTTTTTAAGGTTTCAATTGGCTTTTTATTTTTTTTTCTTAATTTGTTAACTTTTTTCACTTAATTTATAGTAGGTAATATATAATTCATGAGGTCATCTAATTGTTAAAACGCTGAAATAACATGTTTAACAGCCAGGTAGCATTATCTTTACTGGATGATGGGATATAAATATCTTTCTAGACTTCACTGACGGATAGGGACTCCATTTGTAAAGGGTATGCAAGTGATTAAAACGGTAACTTGCCCTAAAGAGGGTTAAAGATGTAAACACAGAGCTTTACTTTACAGACCTAAAATAATCTGGTTTGTTGTTTCTGAAGATGATTTCATGATTTCAAATTTCATTTGTCAAGTTTCACTTATTCTGATTATTTTTTACCATTCATAAAGACCTATTTCTTCTCCAGACAAGATGGAGAGCCAGACAGAACCGGCCTTATTGGACCCTGGTGTCCAAACCTCTCATGGGATCAGTTTGCTTCCTGGATATTTATTCGAGCCTTGCCTTCAGGAACCTGACCAAAAATGTCTGCTTAAAATGTTGATGATGATGTAGCTTCATCATCAGTTTAGTGAAGCTGTGAAGAACAAACACAAACGTGAGCAACGTGAGCGTCCAGATGTTCTCAATCACAGGGCCTTTCCCAGGATAACGATGCTCATGAGGAAGAACATGATGAAGAAGAGCCACATGAAGAAGCGATCCATCACCTTGGCGACCTTCCTCCACTCTGAGATGCGGACCTGCGCCGTCCGCTGGTCTTGGTACGACATGGCGATGTACTCCACGCTCTTCAGCAGACGCTGGTGTTGGCACACACATTTGGTTCTCACCCAGATCTCCCTTCGGTTCTCCTCAACTGCACCTCCAACACCTTTCTTCTCCTCAACGTACGCTCCTCTTCTTCCCTCATGGTCAATGTGGGAGTGCTGCTCTTCCTCCTCTCTCCTCCCAGTGGCCTCCTTCTCCTCAGAGTGGTCGACGGTGACGAACAGATCTTCCTTCCAGACAGTCTGCTTGGTCTCACCCTCCTCCACCCTTCCTCCCCATGCTTGGCCATTAACATCCCAATTTGCTCCTCTTCCGCCGCCTGAGTCCTGCTCGTCTGACTCCTCCTGAGATAATGGTTGTTTCCTGGATGAACTTCCAAGGCAGCTCTCTCCGACCTCATTGACACAGCAGATTTTAGCGAGGAACTTCAGGATTAGACACTCTGCCCATTTTGGAACCGGGCGGGCCTCAGGGCCGCAGTGGTGGATGTTCATGATGAAGATGGTGAGCGCTGTGGATGCAGTGACCATCGTCATGGTGGCGATGTAGTACTTCCCTGTTGAAAGACAAACAGATCAGTGCTCTGCACTCTCATCGTGTCCCACTTAGTTGAGTTGGAAATCATCTGGACTGAACCTCTGGGTCACCTAGCAGCTAATATCAGTGATTGTGAAGGTCTGTGGGGTACCCCAAGGCCCTGCACCGGGACGTTTCCTGTTCTCCTGTGTTTCTTCTTCCAGGGGTGGTTAGGTAATAAAAACTATTTTTACCCTATTTATGCTGATGACATTCCGCATAAATGTCATTATTTTATGCCTGCAGAGTTTTAAAAGGTGTCCAACAAACAAGGACGAAAGTGGGATGATCTAAGGCAACCCAATAATAAATGGTTTATCTGAAAGAGAGAGGAGGTTCTGACCGATGAGTGGGACGCTCTCAGACGGTGGCATGCTCTCAGCCACCAGCAGCTGGAACACGGTGAGCGCCAGCAGCACCGTCACACCCAGAGAAACCTTCTCTCCAGAGTCCGCCGGCAGGTAGAAGCCCAGTGGAGCCAGGAAGGAGATCATCATGCAGGGGATGAGGAGGTTGAAGATGTAGAAGGAGGCACGTCTCTTCAAGTGGAGCGTGAAGGTGATGTCTGGGTACGGGTCTGAGCAGCAGCCGTACAGGATGACATTCTTCTTGGCTGGCATTCCCAGAACCTGCTCAGAAAGAAGTTTGGATCAGGAAAACCCAACCACAGAAGACAAGCTGCTGAGGTCACCTCTTACCTCCCACTCTACGTTTGGGACAAAATCAGCCAGATCAGCACTGTCCAAGGCATTGGAGAGGTCCATCTGGTTCCCATTATGAGTCCAGGAGCCGAAGGTCAGGTGGCACTGTTGCACATCGAAGGGAAAGAAGGCCACATCTACCGAGCAAGAACTCTTGGTGATGGCCGGTTGGTCCCATGTCACCTGTCCATCATTACGGAGGACGACGTTGGTCTCCATGGAGCTGGAGAACTCATCGTCTGCGCTGCAAAACAGAAAGAGAAAACATTTTTTAATCTGCAGAAGAAGTGAGCACCTCTGACAGGAAGCTTTGTGTACCTGTTATAGAGGACGATGTCAGGCCTCCAGACATAGCTGCTAGGTATCCGGATGGCGTCCAGGCCATCGTAGTCCTCCTTCCTCCAGATCAGGAAGGCGTCCATCCACACCTGGCGGACCCACAGGTAGGTGCTGAGGATCTGGTTCCTTTCATCCTGATGAGACCAAACAGATGAGGACCTGAGAGTCCACAGCGTGATCAGACATCTGCAGGTCTGGTTACCATGTCGATGATCTGGGACAGGGTGATCTGCAGGGTTACGTTGATGATGTGGTCCGTGTCCTCCACCGGCCGCAGAGCATTGGTGTAGTTGGAGAAAAGGTCATTCAGAAGTTTCTGGGCAAAGCGGCCATGAGCACAAAAGCAACCTGAGAAGAAAAGAGCAGATGTGGATCAATCTGGTTTTTATCCACCTAAAACAAGCCTTAGGTCTCTGTCGCTGCTCTGCAGTAGTGAAAATTAGGCTTTTGATCTGTCTTCAGAGTTCAGTGTTAAGCTTCTGATATTGTATGACTAAAACTAGAACTAGCCATAAGAGAGACATAAGATTTTCCCCTCAGTAGATCAGGTTTTTCCCAAAACTTCTCAAGCCTTCAAAGCTTGTAGAGGAACAAACATTGGGAGGAGAAAGGAGGCATTTAGTGAGAAGCTGGATGAAACAGAGAGTAGAGATGTATAATCCAGGTCTAGAAAGTAAAATGCCTGTACAGAGATTTGTTACAACCGTTATCTGGCTCTGCAGAGAGAGCTGATTGGCTGATTCACCCCCTGAACAATTAGAGGCTATAAGAATCATCTAATTGTTAATATGAGATTAGATCATCCCTATCATCATCATCATCATCATCATCATCATCATCATTGTTGTGGGAGATTGGATGTAAAAGTTTAAGGAACATTTTTCTAAATAAAGTCCAATAATCTCCACAAAGGAAGCTGGAAATGAGCAGAATCTGTATCTGCTGGTTGTTCCCGTTGGGTTCCTGCCATCTCCTCCCTGGTTCTGGTGGAGCTGAGAGCTTCTGGTTCTGAAAGTAGAGAGCAGAGAACTCCCTGTCCCACTGCGATTGATCTTTGGACCAATCTGACTTCAGCTCCTCTGTTTTCCTCCACCAGCTGCTCCACCTGACAGCTCTTTATTCCAGCAGCCAATCAGAGGAGTCCACAACATTTTACAAACGGAACAGAAACACCTCAAACACGGAGGAAAGAGAACCAGAACCGGATCAGAACCTTGATGAGGAAACAGAACTATAACTGCATCAGAACCACAGTGAAGAAACAAAAACATTGCTGGATTAGAACCACAATGAAGAAACAGAACCATAACGGGATCAGAGCCCTTACTGGACCGGAACCATGGATAAGAAACAGAAAGATTACTGGATCAGAACCATACCCTGATCAGAACCACAATGAGGAAACAGAACCATAACTGGATCAGAACAGTAACTGGATCAGAACCATGATGAGGAAACAGAACCATTACTGGATCAGAACCATGATGAGAAAACAGAACCATTACTGGATTCGAACCATGATGAGAAAACAAAACCATTACTGGATCAGAACCATGAGGAGGAATCAGAACCATTACTGGATCAGAACCATAGTCTGAGCAGGACCACATTGAAGAAACAGAAATGTTACTGGATTAGAACCACAGTGAGAAAACGGAACAATGACCGCATCAGAACTGTGATGAGGAAACTAAAGCAAAACCAAGTCAGAACCAAAATGAAGAACAGAACC